AATGCAAATCAAAACTACTCTAAGACTTCATCTCACTCCAGTCAGAATGGCAGCTATTAAGAATACAAGCAACAATAAGTGTTGGCGAGGATGTGGGGGAAAAGGCACACTCATACATTGCTGGTGGGATTGCAAAATGGTGCAGCCAGTATGGAAAGTAGTATGGAGATTCCTTAGAAAACTGGGAGTGGAACCACCATTTGATCCAGCTATCCTACTCCTCAGTCTATACCCAAAGGACTTAAAAACAGCATACTACAGAGACACAGCCACATCAATGTTTATTTCAGCACAGTTCACAAAACTAAACTGTGGAACCAACCTAGATGCCCTTCAGTAGGTGAATGGATAAAGAAAATGTGATATATATACACTATGGAATATTATTCAGCAATAAAAATGGCATTTGAAGGTAAATGGATAGAGTTGGAGAATATAATGCTAAGTGAAGTTAGCCAGTCCCAAAAAACCAAATGCCAAATGTTTTCTCTGATATAAGGAGGCTGATTCATAATAGGGTTGAGGGGGGAGCTTAATATGTTACTGTGGTGGGAGAGGATTAGACAAACACTAGAAAGGGCAAAGGGGTGGCAGGGAAAGGGAGGGGACATGGGGGTAGGAAAGACGGTAGAATGAGATGGACATCATTACCCTAGGAACATGTATGAAGACACAAATGGTGTGACTCTCTGATTTTTTTTTTCCAGTATGGGGATTGAACCTAGGACCTTGCACATGCTGGGCAAGCTCTCTACCACTGAGCTACACCGCTAGCCCCACATCTCTGATTTGGCCCTTTTGGCTCTTTTCCTATGCCATGATGAGACTTCTCCAGTCCACTGTAGAGGCACAGGCACGGAGACCAATATGGTTATTCTCCTGGGTATATGGCTAGATATTTTAGGGGCAAACAACCCCAGACTCAAACACTTTAAAATGCCGGATAATAGCTTATTAATATCTGTAATGGCCATTGCCTAGGGACCTCTGTAAACCCTCTTGGTCCTGCTGTTAGTGCCAGGGCTGCTGCAGCAACCAGTAAGAGGCTTAGATTAGTTGACCATCAGCATAACCAGATGACACCTCATCTTGATGCCTCCTGGGCATCTCTTCTGTGTTCCTCCTTAGAGAATCTCTGGTGCCATGGCAGGGGTTACCTGAAGGAATGTCTCATTTCTTACACATGCACATTTTGAGCAGTGGATGAGTTAAAACTTGTGGACCACCCTTAACCACCAGGAAACAGTTAAAGAGTATGTCATCTTCCTTTTATCCCCCAGGAAGGCTTTCCCAAGATGCATTCCATAAAGTGTTCTTCAAAAGGCCTGGGACAATCTGGTACCTTTCATTCTTAGCAGTGACCAACTCAATACTGTATCTAATATTAGTTTGCCCTCCTTCCATGTTCTACCATTCCCTGTATAGCTGCTTCTCGGGTTCACTTGCCCAATAATTGAACACACACTTCTAGTGGACTAGACCGAGGCACAGGTAGAAGCTTTGCAGAAGGTTTAGCTTTGAATGACTTGGGGCCAAAATAATTATACAGATTATGGCAGGGCTGCCTGGGAGACTGAAGGCACAGCCTCATGTGGTCTCTCATTTCTAAGTCTGGCTCCAGAGATGACACAAGTCAGGTCCTGAGATCTTGAATGGGGATGAGGGCTGAATAGCCTAGGTATTTTGAGTCCCTGGTTTTGCTTGAGCTATCTGGATCTGTAGAAGCAACCCTCTCCCTCTAGCTAGGGGAGAGCAAATTCTGATTGATTTCCTGTAAACATCTCCCCTAAGGCAAGGGCCTCCAACATTATGCTGTGGTCCTTACCTTATGGCCACACTGTCCCTCTACTGCTTCCAGACTCAGACCCACAGTCACCTTTCAGCTCGGCCTGACAGAGCTGGGGTTGTGGTTCAGTGGTGCCCAGCATGGGTGAGGCACTGGGTTCCATCCCCAGTACCACATAAAAAAAACTAAATAAACAAAATAAAGGTAAAATAAAAGGAAAGGAAGGAAAAATACAGACCTCCCTCTAGGAAGAAAAAGCTCATACACACACACACACACACACACACACACACACACACACTCCTCCGTGTGTGTTCACATACATAAATTCAACCAACTTTGAATTGAAAATATTTTTAAAGCATTGCATCTGTACTGAACATGACATATTATTTTTTTGTCATTGTTTCCTAAAGAACACAGTATAACAACCATTTATATGACATATTAGGTATTACCAGTAATCTAGAGATGATTTAAAAGCATGTGGGAGGATGTATGTAGGATATACACAAATACTGCGCTATTTATTTTTGTTTTTAATTTAAAAATTTGGAATGTTTCTCTAACTTGTCTGTCATCCTTGTGCAGAGGCCTGGCTAATCTTCTCTGTTTCATTCCAGTTTTCGTATATGTGCTGTCAAAGTGAATATTACTAGGCTGTTTTATAGGAGACTTGAGCATCCACAGATTTGGGTATCCATGGGGTCCTGCAACCATCCTCTTGCAATGACTGAAGGATGACGGAATTTTGTGGCAGAATGTGCCACTGGCTGAAAGTCAGTACTGTGTGGTTTGTAGTATCTCTTAAAGTCTCATATATTGAAGACTTGGTCCCCAATGCAGCAGCACTCACAGGTGGGGCTTCTGGGAAGTGATTGGATGAGGATGGCTCTGATCTGATCAGTGGATTAACTCATCCATAGCTGAATGGACTGCAAGGAGGCAGTGGGAACTGGTGGTCGGTGAGGCATGATTGGAGGGAGTAGGTCTCTGGGGATGTGTCCTGGAAGGGTATTTCTTGAACCCAATTTCTCTCTTTATCTCTCTGCTTCCCACGGTGCCATTATGTTCTGCTTGCCTCAGGTCCAGTGAAAGGCCTCCATAACTGAAACCTGACACCCTGAGCCAAAATAAACGTTTCCTCCTCCAAGTTGTTCTCAGCCATTCTGTCACTGTGATGAAAAACCAACCTGCTGACTACATAGGTCCGAGACACATAGGATGGAAGTAGGATTAGGATTAGGTCCTCTCATCAATACTCCCAGTGACCCACTCCTAATCTGTGCTTCCTTTGAAACCTTGGATTTGCTGGGTTAGTGACTGACTCCTTGTCATCCTTACAAAGAACTTGAAGCTACCACCCACCATCCGATCACTTTGAGCTCCCCAGGTCAGTAGACCAGTATGCAAAGGAAAGAGTTTTTAGTCTGGCAGAGCTATTGACACTGGTTATCATGAGAAGCTAAAATCATTGCTGATCAATGGGGGCAAAAAGGAGAATATCAGAGTGCAGGGGACTCACTGGGCATCTTTTGGTATTTTCACACTCAGCAATGGCAATGGATGGACTATTATAGCAGTCATGGCTCAACAGAGGCAAGGCAACTGAGGGTCCAGGTCTCTTGGGGAGGAAGGTCAGGGTCCCTCCATCTGATAAGCAACCTTGCCTGACCAAAATCCTGGCAGAGGCAAAGAAAATTTGGAAATGGAAGTAGAGGAAGAAAATGTTGGTTTTCATTACCTTCTAGGAATCAGGTACAACAGCACAGATTTTGACTTGTTCCTCTAGCCAACTGCTCTTAAATATTTTTGGAGATAACTGCTGGCCACCACCATGAAGGTGGATGGATTGGACTTAATGGAAAGCACAGGAAATGTGAATGGTGCAAGACACATATCTGAGATGCATTTTATAGGAAGCCAGCAAAATTGAACCTATGCCATGTGGAATAGTGGCTAAATCTATGATTTTCAGTGTTGTTTTTTTCCTCCCTCCTTTGAAGGGAACAAGTCCCAAAAAAAACAACCACAAAAAAAGCCTTGGCCCAAGGTGGGGGGTTCCGAAAAACCAGGGCAATTAAAAAGCAATTTAAAACCTAGTCCAACTCACTAGAAAAAAGCTGAAACCAGAGTGATAAGTACTCAATTAACAGATTGCTAGGAGCTTTAGGTGTTTGACTGTTCTAGAGGTGGACTAGGTCTTTGCTTTATGCAAAGAGAAATGTTCAAAATAGGACCTCCACATAGAGTCTCTGGGGGCTACATCATCAGTGAAAGGGTGAGTTATGAAAAAGACCCATTACATTTTTATTTTTAATTTTTTCCACATTTTTATTGGTGCCTTATAGTTGAGGTGGAATTCATTGCTGCATACACACAATAAAGTGAGATAATTTGGTCAATATCATTCCCTGCACTTCTCCCCCTCCCTCCCTCCTTCCCACCCCTCGCTTCCTCTCCTTTACTGATCTCACTTTGATTTCCATGAGATCCACCTCCATTTTTCTTCCCCTTTTTCCTCTCTAGCTTCCACATGTGAGTGAAAACACATGTCCTTGACCTTCTGAGTTTGATTATTTTGCTTGACATAATCATCTCTAGTTCCATTCATTTTCCTGCAAATGACATGATTTTATTCTTCTTTATGGATGACTACAACTCCATAGTGTTTATGTACCACATTTTCTTTATCAATTCATTTTTTAAAAAATGTATTTATTCTAATTAGGTCTATATGACAGCAGAATGCATTTTGATTCATTGTACACAATTGCAGTACAACTTTTCATTTCTCTGGTTGTACATGTAGTAGCGTTGCATCATATGTGCAGTCATACATGTACCTAGGGTAATGGTGTCCATCTCATTCCACCATCTCTCCTTCCCCCATTTCTCCTCCCCTCCACTCCCACCCCTTGATCCAATCACAGTTCCTTCATTTTTCTCATGACCCCCCACCCCACTCATCCCCGTTATGAATCAGCATCCACTTATCAGAGAGAACATTCGGCCTTTGGTTTTTTGGGATTGGCTTACTTCGCTTAGCATGATATTCTCTAACTCCATCCATTTACCTACAAATGCCATAATTTTATTCTCTTTTATATCCATTAATTTTTGATGGACACCTAGGCTGGTTCCATAGTTTGGCTATTGTGAATTATGCCGCTATAAACATGGAAAAACACGTATCAGTATAGTATGATGACATTAGTTCTTTAGGTTGAATACCAAGGAGTGGTGTAGCTGGGTCACGTGGTGGTTCCATTTCTGATTTTTTGACTAGTGATTTCCAAAGTGGTTGTAACAATTTACGATCTCACCAATAGTGTGAAAGTATCCCTTTTGCTCCACATCCTCTCCAGCATTTATTATTGTTTGTATTCTTGATGGCTGCCATTCTGACTGGCACGGGATGAAATCTCAGTGTAGTTTTGCTTTGCATTTCCCTAATTGCCAATGGTGTTGAACATTTTTTTTTCATGTATTTTTTTTCCATTTGTATTTCTTCTTTTGAAAAGTGTATGTTTAGATCTTTTGCCCATTTATTAATTGGGTTATCGGATTTTTTGGTGTAAAGTTTTTTGAGTTCTTCATGTATACATTAGACCTGATTTCTCTGGTAGAAGAGTAGCTTGCAAAGATTTTTCTCCCATTCTGTAGGTTCTTTCTTCACATTCCTAATCGTTTCCTTTGCTATGCAGAAGCTTTTAAATTTGATGCCGTCCCGTCTATTAACTCCTAGCATTATTCCCTGAGCCTTAGGTGTCCTATGGAGGAAGTCATTGCTTGTGCCTCTGCTGGTGTGTTGACCCTTTGTTTTCTTCTAGGAGTGTCATAGCTTCTGTTCTAATTCTATGTCTTTGATCCATTTTGAGTCGATTTTTTGTGCAGGGTGAGAGATAAGGGTTTGGTTTCATTCTTCTACATATGGATAACCAGTTTTTCCAGCATGTGTTAAAAAGGCTGTTTTTTCCTTCAATGTGCATTTTGGTCATCTTTATCAAAGACCATATGATTGTAGATGTGTGGGCTTGTCTCTGAGTCTTCTATTCTGTACTAGTGGCCTATGTGTCTCTTTTAATGCCAGTACCATGAAGTTTTTATTACTATAGCTCTGTTTAATTTGAAGCCAGGTAGTGTGATACCTCCAACAATGCTGTTTTAGCTTAGAATTGCTTTGGCTGTTCTGGGTCTTTTATTCCGAATGAATTTTTTTTTTCTAATTCTGTGAAGAATGTCATTGGTATTTTGATGGGGTAAGATATTACATTTTTAAAAAGGAAACCTACAATTTTATGCTGGTTGTGGGAGGTATAGAGAAGTTCAGCCTAGAGTTCCTTTCAAGTATCTGTCACCCCAGCTGTTGGTAATATTGTGAGGAAATGGATTGTGCCTCCTTCAATGCCTGCCTGGCCTGCAGAGGGCCCCTCACTAAGAGACTACTACCTTCCCTAGGGAGTCAATATCCAATCGCAGCTCCAGGAGGGCAGATATCCAGCCACTCAGTCCAGCCTGGGACAGCTCTGCTCCTGTCCTCTATGCAGCGGGAAGAGCTTAATCACTGCCCCTGAGAGAAAACACCATGGTCTGTAGAGCTGCCAGTTTCTGTGATTTCAACCTATAAATGATATCCTTTCAAAATGACATCACTGAACGTGTGGCTGGGAATAGATGCAAAACAGAACATACCATGTGGAATTTCTATGATGCACATATGCTAGCTGTAAATAAACTCAAGAACCTACTTTACCAGTCATGC